CGTTCCGTTCAAACAGCCCTTCTTGTACAAGAACGCGCAGGGCTTGCATTTGCCGATCCTGTGACCTGGGAGGGCGCAGACACAACACCTGCCACACCCGGGGAAAGTCAAAGCCCGAGCTTGAGACGGTCATGTAATATGTCCAAGGGCCCACCTGTAGGGCCTTCGGGCTGCCGAGGTCACCTAACTCGATGAATCATACGATTGCCATTTCGATATTTTGCACATCCAACACGGCGCCAAGACGGCGATACGATGGTCCGAAACGGCGCCAGGACCGATTAAGGCGGCGCTACAGCATACCAAGTCTGCGTTCAAAGGCGCAAAGCACTTAGTCCAAATTCCGACACGATCTCAGACGCCTCCAGGACGCCGTTGGAGCGAGGTAGGAACCATAATCGTGCCACAATATGGTGACATACGATGTATGTGCCCTCGCCGTCTGGCCCCGCGATGGGCACAAGACAGCCCAGCACGGGCGCAGGGCAACTCCAAGAGAGCCATGGGGCGCCACAAGCACTCCAGTGAATCTCAAGCATGCCAAGAGCAGCCCCTCAAGAGGGCCACTGGAGGGCTTAAGACCGGACAAAACCTCAGGAATGGCCCAAGGGCCGCTGAGACGAATCCGACACTGCTCGAGGACTGCCCACGCCCGAGAAGGCACATCGAGGAACAAAGCAACGACCCAATGCCAACACTACGATTTGGGATAGATTGTCCCAGCATCGTGCCCTCCCCAGCGCGTTAGGCAAGGCTAGGTGTAGGCTGTGTAACGCGGCCTGCCGTCCAACCATAATCCCCCTTCTGGTGAGGGAATCCGCGAGGCGCTAGAGGTTCTATGTTGGCACAATATGGCTTCAAGATGACCCGAGATCGCATTCAAGGCCGCGTACGATACTCCAACTTGGCTCAGCATGCCTCCAGGAGGCCACAACTTTGGCGTAAGGCGGCACGAGGTGACCTCAGAGCCTCCCAACGATGTCCCCAGGAGGCACACGACGTCAGAACATATGTGCATTCATGATTTGGTTTGCCTGCTCGCAATTACGCTTTCGTGGCTTCAATCTGACCTAAAGTGGCCCAAAGAAGGGCCTACAACCTTCTCGAAAGCAAGCGCCAGTTTGCTCTGACCCCCCTCGCCCCCCCCCAATGTCAATGTTCGGCGACGCGCGCAGTGCGGCCCGCGGTGTCCGAAGAATAATGTAAGCCGCAATTTTCGACGCGAGCATTGACGTTGGGGGTCCAGGGGCGCCGCTACGTCGCGGAAAAACAACTTGCGTTTGATGTGGGAGGGTGATGGGGAGCCCAACGACCCTCCCAAGGAGACCTCCAGATAATTCCAAGAGCCCATCAAAAACAATAGGCGCCCAGAGGTCCCCAAGATGCCCCAAGAGGTCCCCAAGCTCCCACGACGCCCCCCCACCGACCCCCAATGTGAAGAGAACAAAACATGAGGTGGGGACAAACCCCGATCCAAGCTCGCGGAATTCTCTGTGCCGGCAGCGGACAGAAACAGAAGAAAATGCTGCTGATGATGATGATGATGATGATGATGGTGGTGGTGATGATGGTGGTAAGAATGATGATGGTGGTGATTATGATGGTGATGATGATGAGATGAAGATGAGGATGAGGATGAGGATGATGATGATGATGATGCTGATGATGATGATGATGATGATATTGATGATGACGATGGTGATGATGATAACGATGATGGTGATGGTGTTGATGAGGATGCTGATTGTGTTGATGGTGATGATTAGAATGAATATGATGCTCATGGTGATGATGATTATACTGATGCTGATGATGATGCTGCTGACGATGTTGATGAGATGATGATGCTGGTGATGATGACAATGATGCTGATGTTATGCTTGAGAAAACGGTGGTGGTGATGATGATGAGGGTGATGCTGCTGATGTTGATGATTATGATTATGATGATGGTGGTAGTGATGATGAGGATGAGGATGATGCTGATGCTGATGCTAATGCTGATGCTGATGACGATGACGATGACGATGACGATGACGATGACGATGACGATGACGATGATGATGATGATGATGATGATGATGATGATGATGATGATGATGATTCTGCGGGGGAGGAGGGGGGTACGGCTTCCAGCATTAGGGGAGGGTCACCATGTGATGAACCACGCCTGGATGATGTGCGGCGTGTTGCGCTAGCGCGGTTATGTTTAAAGAGGCCCAGGAACACACAAACAAATACATATATCCACATATGTATCTATACATACAGATGTATGAATCCCCCTCTACTTCCCATGTTTTTTCACGTTTCCTGGAGACCGACGTTTACGAGTGCCTGTGTTTTTCCCTACCTAGGCTCTGCCTAGAAGGGTTCTTAGCTTAAACGGGCCGGGCAGTGCAAAGCGCCCCGGGCGGTTCCCCCAGTCCCCGCCCCGCGGTTCCCCCCAGTCCCCTGGGAGCTTTAGCTTTAGCTTTAGCTTTAGCTTTAGCTTAGCTTTAGCTTAGCTGTAGCTTAGCTTAGCTTAGCGTTTCGCTTAGCTTTTCGCTTAGCGTTTAGCTTAGCTTTAGCTTAGCTTTAGCTTAGCTTTAGCTTAGCTTAGCTTAGCTGTAGCTTAGCTTTAGCTTAGCTTTAGCTTAGCTGTAGCTTAGCTTTAGCTCAGCTTTAGCTCAGCTTTAGCTCAGCTTTAGCTTAGCTTTAGCTTAGCTTTAGCTTAGCTTTAGCTTAGCTTTAGCTTAGCTTTAGCTTAGCTTTAGCTTACCTTTAGCTTAGCTGTGGCTTAGCTTTAGCTTAGCTTCAGCTTAGCTTTAGCTTAGCGTTACTGTTACTACTAATGCTGCTTTCCTAGGGGTTCCAACTCCTAGGTAGGGTCGCACTGGGATAATTTCCTCTTGACTGTTCGCGTCCTCGCGCCCTAGCGCCGCACCCTTGGAGATGGGCAACCGCTCGGGCCCAGGCCGCGACCCACGAAGCGCGATTATTGTGGCGCCCCCGCGGGTGCCCCAGCTGGCCAATGGCGCCGTCCTCCCCCGTGATGTGGGCTCCGGTCTCGGCGGCAGCGAGAGCGGCGAGGTCTTTGCAGCGACGGGACCTGCCGAGCCAACCGTCGGCAGCGCCTCGGACCCCAGCACGGCCTGCTGCTCCTGCCGCGCGCGTCCGGAGCGTCTCCGATCGCGCCGCTCCCTCCGCACCGTTGCGAACCTCGGCCACCTGACTTCGTGCATCACGCCCCGCGATGCGCGGTTATCTTTGCGCCCTCGCGAGGCCACCTTGAACAAGGGCAACTCTCAGACCCAAGCCGCGACGCGCGAAGCGCGATTATCTTCGCGTCCCGCGGGGTGACCTAGCGAACACGCCACTGCGCCGCAGCCCAACAGCAAGATGATGGAAAGGGCAGGCCACCCTCTCTGAAGAAATGTCCCCTAGGAGAAGAACAAACGGGCTGCACATCTCTCCTTACGATCCTTGCCCTGCCTAGTGCTGAGCTGGTTATATCATGTGTCCCTGCAAGCATGGAACGCCCGAACTTATAGATGACGCCTAGCCTTCGAAGGGAGCAACTCTGGCCACCGCGGGAAAGGACGCGCGCTAGATCCCGCCGCCGCCCGCTGCCGCCGCCCGCTGACTGGCGGGCGACATGCGAAACGTGTGGCCCTGTCTCGCTCCGGATGAAGGGCAACAATCGGGGGCACTCGCACAGGGACGGGGGAACATCGACCTGGAATCGGCGATACGTTGCCAATAGATCGGCGACAGGCCCCCGATAGCAAATCCCCACGTTCCTGGGCGGGGTGGGGCTATCGGACCTGTATCGGCGATGGATGGACGATTGGGAGTCGATGCATCCCCCTTACGCCTATCATCCCATCGTTGCCCCTGATGGGACCTCTCCAGATCACTAGCTAACGGAAGCTGTGGTCAATCCCCGACCTCCCGTAGACGGAGCCACGGTGGCCTCTCGACGCTGACCCCCACGGCAACACATCGTCTCGGAGAAAGTGTGCCATGTCTGCATCGTGGATCGGTCCTTTTCGAAGCGGGAGTCACAATCAGAGCATTGATGGGGGAACGAGGTCGCGCGTTGATTCTGGTGTTTGGAGCCTCTTCAAAAGCACGAGCGCTCCGTCCATCTTCCCCCCATCCCCTGGAGCGGTGACGTTAGAATGCTGCGAACGAGACCCGAAACGGATGGGGGGCGGAGAGGGGGCACGGCTCCGCTAGCTACCATTCCCACGAGGCGCCCCTGGCCGTTGCCGTGCCCGCTTGCCTGTTGGTGGTTCTAGGATGGGTCCCTGAGGGATGGGGTCCTCAGGACCGAATGGATTTACATTGTTTTGTGCGCCTCGTCCTCAGGACCCCATCCCTTAGGACCCCACCTTTGAACCACCGAGCCTGGGTCGAACTATGGTCCACCGACCTGTGCCGACAGAGCGGGCTGGAATGGAAGACTGGCGATCGGCAGCAGAGGCGCCTGCCATGGGCGCCAATATGTTGCAAGGTGCTGCGGGTGACACCTCCAGTGAATGCTTTGGATCAAGCCGATGTTGCCTGCCCTCCGCCCCCAAGTCCATGGAGCTCTCGCGTTGGATCCCAAACTCTCTCGGCGAGGGAGGGCAAGCGGCCTTCCTGACATCAAACAAGCACGGGCGGATTACCAAAATGAAACCGAAAGAACCCAGACATTAAGCATCTGTCCCTAGATGGTCTTGCCCTGAAAGCTCCCATTGTTTACTGACTGGCTTCCTCACTGCGTGTGCCCTGGGACCGTGTCCCTCCCGTGAGCCTCGCAAGCGTATCGGCTCGCTTGGCCCCACAAGGAGCTCCATTGAAGGTCCCAGTGGCACCGTTCGCATGCGTCCCCGCAACGCATGTCGGCACATCCCGCACACGTCTCGTGGCCCCGTAAGGAACTCCACCGAAAGTCCCATTGGCACCGTTCGCATGCGTCCCGCCTCCCATTTGGGCACACCCCTCGCACGTTTCGTGGCCCCTTTAATGAGCTCCACCCAAGGCCCCAATGGCATCTCTCGCATGCGTTCCTCGCACCCATTACGGCACACCCGTCACACCCGTCACACGTTTCGTGGCCCCATAAAAATCTCCACCGAAGGTCCCAATGGCACCGTTCGCATGCGTCGTCTGCACCCATGTCGACACACCCTTCATACAATTCGTCGCTCCAGAAGGAGCTCCACCGACGACGATATTCACAACCGCGTACTCACAACTGCAGATGGTTGGGCTCTTCGGCAAAATAATGTCAAAAAACGTCGACCACCAGAAGTCTCGACCCATTCCCCTGGACAAGCTTTTCATCATGGGTCGTTTTTCCCAAAAACAATCCTGTGATGTTGGGTCCTCGTTTTTCAAAGACAGCGCCCCACGTTCCTCCTCCTCGCCCCTCTTCCCTCCCCGCCTCTGTCCTCCGCATACCCATCATTTCAGCGCACCCAGTACAGCGGGTCGTGGCCCCCTAGGGGGCTCCACCGAAGGCCTCAGTGGCTGTGACCACATGCGTCTCCGCCACCCATTTCGGCACACCCCTCCCACACTTCGTGGCCCCGTATGGAGCTCCACTGAAAGCCCCAGTGGATGTGACTGCACGCGTCCCCGCCACACCCCGCACACGTTTCGTGGCCCCATAGGCAGCGCCACCGAAGGTCCCAGCGGCTGTCACCACATGCGTCCCCGTCATCCATTTCGGCACACCCCCAAATGGAGCGCCACCGAAGGCCCCAGTGGCTGTCACCACATGCGTCACCGCCACCCATTTCGGCACACTCCTCACACGTTTCGCGGCCCCAAAGGGAACGCCTCTGAAAGCCAGTGGATGTGACCACATGCGCCACCGCCACCGATTTCGGCACACCCCTCACACGTTTCGTTGCCCCAAATGGAGCGCCACCAAAGGTCCCATTGGTTGTCACCACATGCGTCACCGCCACCCATTCCAGCACACCCCTCACACGTTTCGTTGCCCCAAATGGAGCGCCACCGAAGGCCCCAGTGGTTGTCACCACATGCGTCACCGCCACCCATTCCAGCACACCCCTCACACGTTTCGTTGCCCCAAATGGAGCGCCACCGAAGGCCCTAGTGGCTGTCACCACATGCGTCACCGCCACCCATTTCGGCACACTCCTCACACGTTTCGCGGCCCCAAAGGGAACGCCTCTGAAAGCCACAGTGGATGTGACCACATGCGCCACCGCCACCGATTTCGGCACACCCCTCACACGTCTCGTTGCCCCAAATGGAGCGCTACCGAAGGTCCCAGTGGCTGTCACCACATGCGTCACCGCCACCCATTCCAGCACACCCCTCACACGCTTCGTGGCCCCACAACGAGCGCCACCGAATGCCCCAATGGCTGCGACCAAATGCGTCCCCGCCGTCCATCTCGGAACACCCCTCACACGCTGCGTGGCCCCGTAGGAAGTGCCACCGAAGGCCCTAGTTGCTGTGACAGCATGCGTCCTCGCCGCCCATTTCGGCACACCCCTCAAACGTTTCGGTGCCCCATAGAGAGCTCCGCCGAAAGCCCCAGTGGCTGTGACCACACGCGTCCTCGCCACTCATGTCGGCACATCCCTCACACGTTTCGTGGCACCTTAGGAAGCGCCACCGGAGGCCCCAATGGCTGTGACCACAGGCTTCGGTACCCCCCTCACACGTTTCGTGGCCCCATCGGGAGCTGCACCGAAGAGCACACTGCGGTACTCACAGCTGCAGATAGTTGGGTCCGAGGCCCGGTGAGGGCCCCCAGCGGCCGACGTACACTTCGCGCCGTCGACGTTGCTGCCAAGACGCTGCCTCCGAGCGCGCGGGCTCGCGGCCAGCGCACACCTCGCGCCGCCCTCACGAGCGTGCAGGCACGCTTCTGGGGAACTTCGCGCTGCCAGCTGCTGAAACGAGAAGCTCTTCCTCCGCCTCCTCCTCCTCCTCCTCCTCCTCCTCCTCCTCCTCCCCCTCCTCCCCCTCCGCCTCCTCCTCCTCCTCATCCTGCTCCTCCTCCTCCATACTAGTATTAGCATTCGTAATATTATCATGCTTACTATTAATATCATTAGTAGTATTCTGAGTATGATCATGACTGTTATCATCATCACCATCATCATCATCAGCAGCATCATCATCATCATCAGCAGCAGCAGCATCATCAGCATCATCATCATCATCAGCAGCAGCATCATCATCATCATCAGCATCAGCAGCATCATCATTGGTAGTACTGATATCACGAATTTTGATATTATATTAATGATAACTTTTACTATGTTCCGCATCATCATCATCATCATCATCATCATCATCATCATCATCATCATCATCATCAGCATCAACATCAGCATCATCATCAGCATCATCATCAGATTCATCATCATCACCACCATCATCATCACCATCATCATCAGCATCATCGTCATCATCATCACAGTCACCAACACCACCATCATCGTCATCATCACCATCATCATAATCAGCAGCATCATCATCAGCAGCATAATTGTCATCATCAGCATCAGCCTCATCAGCTTCAACCTCGTCAGCATCATGAGCATCATCAGCAGCAGCATCATCATCAACATCATCATCAGCATAATCGTCATCATCATCAGTATCATCATCATAATCATCACCACCATCATCAGCATCATCATCAGCATCATCCTCCTCATCCTCATCATGATCAGCCTCATCGGTATCATCAACATCAATACTATCATTACCATCAGAATCATCATCACCATGACCATCATCACAATCATCATCATCCGCATCATCAGCATCATCCTCATCATCATCATCATCATCCTCATCCTCATCATCATCCTCATCATCAGCATCATCGTCGTCATCATCAGCATAGTATCATCATCAGCATCATCAGTATCATCAGCTTCACCCCCCTCCTCAGCCTCATCCTCTTATTCTCCTCCTCCTCCTCCTCCTCCTCCTCCTCCTCCTCTTGTCCTCCTCCTCCTCCTCATCTTATCCTCCTCCTCTTATCCTTCTCATCTTCCTCCTGCTCGTCCTCCTCCTTCTCCTCCTCCTCTTCTCATCCTCCTCCTCCTCCTCCTCTCATCCTCCTCCTCTTCTCCTCCTCTTCTCCTCCTCTTCTCCTCCTCCTCCTCATCCTCTT